TAGCAATCGCAATGGAACGTTTCATCTTATCTATTGGAATATTTCATATTTTGTATTAGGTCACTTAATTTTTTTCATTACATTTCAGTACTTCTAAGGAACATTTCATCTTCCTGGAATCTTGTTTTGCAACCACCTTTTGGAGGCTTATTTGGGAAGCTTCGTTTGGAAACTTTTTCTGGGAGCTCCTTATAAAAGCTGCTTTTGGAAGCTTCTTTTGGAAGCTTTTTTTGGAAGCTTCTTTTGGAACTGGAAAACCCTTTTGGAAGCTTCTTTTGGAAGCTTCTTAAAGAAGCTTCTTTTAAAAGCTTATTTTGGAAGCTTATTTTGGAAGCTTCTTTTTGAAACTTCTTTTGAAAGCTTCTATTGGAAGCTTATATTGGAAGGTTCTTTTGGAAACTTTTTTGGGAGCTCCTTTCAAAACCTGCTTTTGGAAGCTTCTATTGGAAGCTTCTTTTTGAAGCTTCTTTTGGAAGCTTTTTTTGGAAACTTCTTTTGGAAGCTTCTTTTGGAAGTTTTTTTTGTGCTTCTTTTGGACGCTTCTTTTGAAAGCTTATTTTTGAAGTTTCTTTTGAGCGTTTCTTTTGGATGCCTGCCCATCGCTCTGCTCCTCTAACGAAAAAAAAAACACGGCAGGACCATGCGAAATACGAAATGCAACGATGCAACGAAAAAACATGAAATGTTTCATAAAAATCGCATCATTTCAAATTTTAATTGATTTTTTTTTCCTTGATTTCTTTTCGTCGATCTTATTTTCCGTGCTGAGCACCAATGCTACCAACGCCAGGGAGGCAGCTCCCACACCTGTACCCTACCTATCGACCCATCAACTCATGAACCGGGGACCAACGGATTTACTTCCCTTCTGAAGGAAGGCGTGATCAGAGATTTTATGCCTCAGAAAATCCAGACGGCGCCGACTGGGATTGAACCCAGGCCTGCTTGGATGAGAGGCAATCACGCTTACCACTAAACCACCGGCGCCGCTGTTTTTTAATTTTTTAAAATCTCATATTGTTTTAAGGATAATTTCAGTATTTTATAGGGAACATAATTTTTTCATGGAACACTTTAAATTTCTCTTGATTTATGGTGATTATTGTTTTAATTAACTATTACAATTTTACTTCTTCATGGTACCTACACTGTTTTTTACTAGGCATTGAAACTTAAATATCGACATATCTGTCTGTTTATGAGGAAGATTTTGCATTTGTATTGAAGTTATTGATTAAAAAATGGGCATCCAAACATTTTCCCATTGTGTATTAATCACAGCCTGGTAGACAATAATTTGGACTAGAAGCATATTTTGAAACCTCGATGAAACTTGTAATTTCCTTGAGAAAAGTACGTTATGGGCAAGAATAGCATATTATTGATTTTTTTTTTTTTAATTATAGTCACTTTAACGCTCTTGGGTCATTCGTGACTTTTCCAGGGGTGAGATTTGAACTCGTGACTTTGGCGTGAGAGGTATGGATACTAACCACTACGCCGGGGTCGCCCCCGCATATTATAGAACAAATGCAGAACATTTCGAGGAAAACTAGTTTTCTGGTTAGTGAGCAGTTCTACGACAAACTGATTTGCGGTAAACTTTGAATAATTGTTTGCAATTGACAATGATTAACATTTTTGCAAAAATTTAGCCATTTTGAATCTTGTAAAATTTTTAAGATGGCGTCGTTGTGATTTTTCAATAAAAAATGCGTTGAAGCGGCACTTCTGATTGCAGTGACGTCTGATGCAAAAAAAAAAGTTTTTCTAGGACAAATATATAAAAAAAGAAAGCTTTAGTAGTTTCTAATAGTAAACAAAAAATAAAAATTAAAAAAAAAAACTAAATATCTCAATATGGGTAATTTCAGCTCAAGTGGGTACACCACCTGTGGTCGATGTCACCGATTTGAGCCAAACTAGACCAAAACAGTTACTTTGGCATTCTGAACAAATAACTTTTTTGATTTTGCTCTAAAGTGCCTAGATCCCTCTCGGCTACAACCCTGGATTTTCGCGATTTAGAAAAAATAATCTTTCAGAAGAGATTACTCCACAATCAAATAAGCTTTTTAATATGAATTCAAATAGTTGTACCAACATTTTGTTTTTGTTATACTAACTACAGTAAACAGGCTGATTACCGGCAGGTATCAAAATTGTCAAAAAATAGCCTATTTTCACCATGGGCGGGATTTTTCATTTCTTAATATTTTGAGCTCAAATTTTCACCACACTTTAAAAAAAACTCTTCCAATTGATGTGTTTCCAAGGGCAAATGATTTGGACAAATACTTTTTGCGATATGAACAGATGAGTGTGTGGTAGTTTTGAGCTTTTCTGGTGGAAAATCCTGTTGGAGACTAAATTTAGGTACCTGGTTAGGTAAATTTTGACATGGCTGTGGATACCTGCTGATTTTAAATACCTATTGATAAGTATATAACTAGTTGATAAGAGATGGATTCTTCAGTGATGTTTAGTACTTGTCACTGATGAAGTCTGCAAGTAGTAGACAAAATACGCGGATCCGTCAAAAGATAAGCAATTATAACGGAATTAAAAGGAAATAAACAAACACACTCAAAGCTCTTCATATAGGGATTCCATTAAAAGGTTCGACACATTTAAAAGAATAACAACTATTTTAAAATTATGTACCTACTTTAGCTGGAATGGCCCATATGACGCAATATTTTGAAATGTTTTATGTTATGGATTCTTAAGAATTAAAAAAAACGTTAAGCGCTTTTTCCTTTTATTTATTCTCAGTAAACAATGTGTTTTATATTCAAAATGACATTCTGTGAAAAAGAGTGTACTTGCTAAAAGTTCAAAGATTGAACCATTGACTTAACTATTTTTATCAGATTTCAAGTGTCCATGGTTTTTGAACATTTCAAAATTCAACGTTTTTCATAATAAAAAAAAAATTGAGAAATGATTTAAAAAATCGGACAAACAAATTTTGAGATAATGTTGGCCTATGGATCTAAGATTGGGCCCATCGCTTAAAATCTGCTATTTATCAATTTACCTAGATGAACGCGTCATTTGGACGGTACTAATGGATATTTTTGGTCGCTATCGAAAATCCAGCAATCAATTTATGTATTGGTCCAAATTAGGGGCATTTACGCCGACATTACATCAATTTCCCCTATTTGGTTTTTTGATTTTTTAAATTTTTATTTAAAATAAATAAATAAACTTGGTTTCGTGTATTTTTTCAAGAAATACATTATTTTTTCTACATGGCCAATGCGTTTAACTCAGAGAGAGTCACTCCTACTCAGTTGTATGGAAAATTTAAAAAAACTTCAGGTACTCAAAGCTCAGTTCCTGTAATTCTTAAAAAAAATTCCATACCTCTGAGTTGAAGTGACTCTCTCTCTCTCTCTGGGTTATACTCATTGGCCATGCACAACTTTGTCTCAGACATCATTAAGACCAAAGAAGCTGTTTCCGAGCCAAAATTTAAAAAAAAAGTACAGATACCATTTTAAAAAGTTCCAAAATGGCCGATTTTTTGCAAAAATGTGAATCATTTATCATAACAATCAATTACGCAAAGTTTCATAGAGAAGTTAGATTCAAAAATTCAACATTTTTGCCTCTTTTGCCTGGATCTGTTCAAGTTTGAAGACACGTGGAATCAAAAGTTATGCAAATTTAAGGACTTTAGTCCGCGTTTTTATTTCTCTTGATCGTGTTTATTTATCTACACGAACAAAATAAATAAAAACCCTGGATACTGTGTTCAAAGGCAAATCTTCAAGAAAAAACATACCAGTCTTGTAATATTTGGATACAAGCAGGGCTTCATTTCATATAGGTCATGTGCATGCATTGCACAGTGGTCCAGGATGGAAATTTATAAGGGAAGACCTAGATCTTTTGTTTAATATTTAGACGATTGGTGTTTCAATGAAGTTTTTGGGCTTAACATGTTCCTTCTTTTGATGGTTGTTATCATAAGGGTGATGGTCAAATTCAGTGTGCAAAATCATAAATCAAATGGTATTTTCCGCTCTCATACGCTCTCAATTTCTCGCGTGATATTTGATCAAAATATCATGCTTGATATTGATTCTACAAGCTCCTTTGATATTGCGAGACTATTCACAACGTGCAGTGACGGTAGTTTCGGATCGTTGTCGGGTGTAAAGCAAAAATCATGAAACTCAAACTCACCACGGTTTGTTTAGAATTGCAGCTGATGAGATTTGTTAGCTTGATATTCGTTGCTACGTGATCTGGGGCATTGGTGAGATTAGATTTATTTATATTTTCCCAACACTGCTCAAATTAATTGATAATTTAAAACAAACCTTCTTATTTTTGAAAACAATGACAGTAAAATTATCACTGATTTAATTTTATGCAACTTTGTTGAAGAAACATTTTATCAATCTCTTAGTAATGTGAGCGCGATTTTTCAAAATTGAATTAGGGTGTGCCTGAAAATTCAGCGTTTTAGCTCTGAACCTTTTGTTTCAAATTAGAAATTCGTCCCAAATAACTTTAAGGGCTTGCTGAAATGCGCATTTTTTAACGAATAAAGTAAATCGAAATCTCCTAAATATCACGTGATATTATCGATTTTCATAAAAAAATATGAACTTTGCAAATGCTAATTGCTCAGCACTTTCTCTTTATTTTTTGCTGAAGCACTGTTCTGGACTACATCCTTTCAATCAAACTTTCTTCAAAAAATAATGCCTTCTGTTCTAATATAAATAAAGGTTACTAAAAAACTTCAAATCTAACCCTACACATTTACTGAGGAAAATTGTGGGATGATTCCAAACTCGTCACAGCAGATAAATTCCTCCGTACTTTCCCCTACCCATCGTGCCCCCACCGGAGTCCACCAACGATCCATGACATGACAGCGCTATTTTTCACTGCAGCTCTTTGTTTACCCTCAGTCTCGAATCGTCGCAGTTCTAGGTAATCGCCCAATAAATCGTCTATTTCTAACATTGTGTACTCACCCGTTGCAGCACCAGCGGCGAGGAGAAATCCTTGCCACCCTGGAGACGGAATCCCCACGGTTGGCCTTCGTTTCGCTGCAGACGAACTGTGATCAAATTTGCCATATCTGCAAACAGAAGAAACAGAAAGGAAGGGAAAAACAAGCAAATTAATGAAAAATGAACAACAATTCTTTCGATTGTGTGAACTCCTATGGATGTGTGTCTCTTAACGTTTCAATAGGGCGTGAAAATTCTTCCTACGCCCGGGAATGCTACCCAATGCCCCTTTAGAACCCCATTCGAGTGAGATTCTCGCTTCCTGACTTCTCCGCGCGGATATCTCAGACCGGGAGACAATCGCTTGTGTCGTCGTCGCTGTAGACGGACGGACGGACGGGAGGACTTAACCTTGAACGACAACCGACCCGACATCACCACCACCGTTTGTCGGATCGATGTAAACTTTCCGCAATTATATTGCTTTCTCGTGATTTGCAGTTCTCGCGCTGTTCCTGCTGCTGCTGCTGCTGCTGAGATGTCTACACATTTACACGGAATATGCAAATTCATCTCCGCGCGAAGCGACTGACTGGCTGACATCGCTGCAGTTTTGTTACATAGACTCAGTTTCCCGATTTGCCAAGCACACAACAACAACAGAAGAAATCGTCCGGTAATGAGAGGTGTTTTATTATTTACAACCTGAGCTCCACCCCGCACTGCGGTTTGTGTCGTTTGCCTAGATGGTTGATTATTTATATTTATTTACTTTTCAATTTACTCAATCATGTTTACCGCCACTTTATAATAAATCTGATTAGGGGTTAACCATTTGAGGGCAGCCGTGATCGAGCGTCGTAGAGCAGATGATGGAAGCCGATGCGATTTTGCGATGCGAAATTGCACAAGAAATGTAAACCTTTTGGCCGGGAGAGCTTTGATGTGACCGGCCTCGTCGATTGCAGTCCCGAGCAAAGGTTTATCAATTGACGGTGAAAATGTGGTGGTTGGTATTTATTTAAATAAATGAGTTGCACTTCGACAAATTGATTGCAAATAAGTGAGAAATTGGAGTGATCATTCGACGGAATCGGAATGATGAATTATTTGACTCAATTGTTGGGAAAATAGGTCTTGGCATGGACATCGTTGTTCAATCAATGATAATGATAGCTCAGAGATTATTACTATGTGTTTCGATGGAACTTTGAAGTCCAAGTGCGAATTAAAGAGTATCGACTTTGTAATTCTAGTCAATTTAAAAGATTTCTTCGAGAATCGCTTTTCAATTCCTTTGAAAAGTATTTTGAAAATTGATTTCATCGATTTAACTAATAACAGACTAATCTGGGAACTTTATTTGAGATTTCTCTGGATTTTCTTCTTCTTAGTCCAGGATTTCCAAAATGTTTTTTTTTTGTCTGCAAATACGGGTAACTTGAACTTCATACGAATTCTATGTAGAACCCAACAAACAAATTCAGCTGCAGACTAGCTTATGCAGGCAAATATTGGTTGCATAAGCCAATATGCAGCTAAAATTGTTAGTTGGGAATTCTTAAAGAACAGAAGAAATAAAGAGAAGAGTGAAAGTCTTAAGGCGTTTAAAATGTCGCCCTAATTTGTTTTTCGAATCTAAGATCATCGAAATTTTATATTATCCATCGTCTAGATATCTTAGTCACAGATTTTTAAAAATTAATGCAAGCTTAATGGGTTTTTCAACGCCCACGCTAACAAAACTAAGGATATTTAGTCAAAAATGTCCAAGTCAAAAATGTCCAAGTCACAAATAATGAAAAAAACATAATAACAACAGTTCTGAACAGGACTATGAGGACGTGTGCAAAACTTTTTAAATAGATCCAGCTCTCTTCCTTGAAATATTTTTAGAAATTAAACGGTGCATCCAAAGGATTTTTAAAAATGTTCCAGAAAACTCGAGAATAGTGCAGTACGCTTGGTTACGTTTGGAACACTTCGGGAAGTATTCGAAGGACTCTATGGATCGATTCAGTTAACCTTGATACCTTCTTCAGGGAAAGATCCAGAGAACTTTGAATTGAACTTACAAAAAGACAAGAGATGAGCAAGAAAGTGTGGGAAAAAGGAGTAGTCAATCGGTCCGTATCTGTCATGGATACAAAATACGAAGTAGAATTAAATGGAAATAATCTCCTTTTTTGTTCTTGTAAGTATTCAACTAACAACCCAAGTAATTGCTTTCAAACCAGATAACTTTTGAGGCACGGTTAATTGCGGGACTGATGCAGGGAAGTTGAAAATGAGTTTGAAGACATTTCCAAAACCCAAGGGATAGGGAAGCTAAGGAGCTACTCACACCAGTTTTGGAATGTACTAGGTCTGTCCCAACGGAATTTAAATGAAGTATATCCTAAACAAGTACCATTGTAAATATGAAATTGTGCCATAATACTTAAGGGGCTGCCCACATTCTACGTGGGTAGATTTTATTAATGATTCTTGACACCCTAGATAAAATGTTTTTAAAAATTTGTAAGGACTGTGGACATTCGCCAACCCCCCTAAGCTGCCTACGTGGTACATAAACAGCCCTTAAGGACCACGTTTAAAGGGTGGCGTTGATGAACTAGAGAATCTCACGATAGTAGTCGAAAATTCCGAGATAGTATCCAGGAATCACAAATTTTGACTCCCGATTCAGAGCATCTTGAGGTAGAGATCAGAGGATACCAGGTTTGAGTTCATATAGCCCCGGGATTGAATTGAGAGATCGAAGTATGCTTTGGCCGCGAGTGGCCGTGTTTATTTTTCGCTGTAATTTTTTTCGCTCGCTCTAAATTTTGAAAATATTCCTAATAGTTTTGAATATCTTAACATGAACAAGGTAAAAATATGAAAGGATAGCTACCGAGCAACGTGGAAATCCTTATAAAGACCGACTTGTGGGCTGCGCTAATGTTTTAGGCATATTCAACGGTTTCTCACGGAGTTTAATGAGTGGCGAAGCCCAAACCGAAGCCATGATATTCTTGGGCGGTAGGATTTGTAGTGATAGATACTGTACCTGGTAGCCAGTCTGCAGCCCACAACTGAACTAGGAATTTCATGGACTGAAATATGAAGATTGCAAGTATTCTGTTGTTAAATTTAAAATGGTTATTTGGTGCTTCATGAAATGAGATGCCCGTCCAAATGTTTTTTTTTAATAAAAAAAAAATGAATTAAACGTGCCAGGATTCAAAAGAACATTTTGAAACTGAAAGTGTGTGAGGCAATACATATATGCGCAGCTTATTGTAAGTGAAAGTAACCTCGACTAAAGAGACTAAAGATGTCTACAATGACCATACATACGACATTATAGTTCTTCCATAATAACATTGCCGGCCAGTGAGGGTTAGAGAAAATACACACATACACATCCCGAGCAGCACAATTTCAGCACAATAAGTTACAGCACCTTGTTTATGACTGAAATAAGTCGTATATAAGTTTCTACAATTGATTTGTGACAAGCGTGCTACTAGGGATACATGTAGCCCTGAGATTTAATTCTGAAATGCAGAGGATTAAATTTTTTTTTAAGATAATCCCAGAAGTGGGATTTAGATGGGATTCAATAGGATTCGCATGGACGGGATTCAGAGAATCCCAATTATGGGATTCAATAAATCCCAGAAATGGGACTCAGAGAGTCCCGAAAATGGGATTCCATGAATTAAAAAAAATGGGAATCAGATATTCTCAAGAATGCAAAAACGAAGGGGAGAGGGCTTTGGTAATATCTTTAAGGGATTAAGAGAATCCTAATAATGCAATTCTGCAAATCCCAAAAATAAGATCCAGAAAATGCCAAAAATGGGATTCAGAGCTCTCAATTAATAACTGGGGAAGTGCATCTAGAACACAATAAACTTGAAATTCTAAGAATAAGAAGAAGGTTTTAAGAGAATCACATAAATGGAATTCAGGAAATAAAAAACTGGAATCCAGAGAATCTTAAAATTGGAATTCAGAGAATCCTAAAAACTGTATTAGAGAACGATCAGAGAATTTTGAAAATGGGATTGATAGAATCATTCAAACGGGTTCCAGGGAATGTTAAACACAGATTCAGAGAATCCCAGAAATTAAATTAAAAGAGTCCAAAAAATAGAATTATGGAAATAAAAAATCCGGGATTCGGAGAATTCCATTATTGGGATTTTGAGAATCCTAAACATTCAGAAAATCATATAAATTCAGAAAAATTAAAATAAATGCAATTCATAGAATTCTACAAGTGAGGCTTTTGGAAACTGAAAAAGGGGTTAAGAGAAAAAAAAATATACCCCACAAATTGGGATCCAGAGAATAAACAAACAAAAATTAAGAGAATCACAAAAATGGGATTCAGAAAATCTTCTCAAATTAAATATTAGTATTCCGAGAATACCATAAATGAGATTCAGAGATTCCGAAAAATGGGATTTAGAAATCGCAAACTGTGATTCAGAAATCCAAAAATGGGATTCAGAGAATCCAAGAATTCTAAAAATGATATTCAGTTAATCCCTAAAAATGAGGGAATCCCAAAAATGGGATTTAAGGAAATCCAAAAATGGGATCCAGAGAATGAGGTTAAGATAACTTCAAAAATAGGATTATGAGAATCTCTCGAATAAAATACAGATAATCCTTCGAATAAGAATCAGGGACTCCCAAAAATACGATAAGGAGAATCTCATAAATGGGATTCAAAGAAATTCTAATCCTAAAAATGGGAAGAAAGCCAAAGGAAGGGTAATCAGAGAATTCCATAGAAAAGATACAGAGTGAAAATCGCGCAAAAACAGATCGCATAAGAACTGCTAATATTTGGTACAAATTCTCATAAAACCATTCACCTGCAGCAAGTTTTAGCAAAGCATGCACCCATGAAATTCCTATCCCAGTCAATTCATCACATTCCACACGGCTGGTGATCGATTCTAGTCCATCAATCAACACCGCAAGCAAAATGCTCGTGGCGTGGAATTCCATTCAGGGGTAGTCTACTTTTCCGGTTTGAATTTCCCTCTTATTGCTTTATCTGCCACTTTCCAGCTGTGCCAATCAAGGGCCGTTTTGCAAATAAATTGTAGTGTTGAAGATCGGCACG